GTTCTGTTACTCTTTGGAATTGCTCAAAAATGTCAATATTCTTTTGAGTACTTGATATTTACAGTTTGATATTTAAAGTGTGCAATTTGTTATCTAAATTGCATAGCACACATTCGGCTTCCCGACTGAATGACCTAACTTCTCCGAACCTTTCCAGCTTCCCCAGGAAAAGGTTTTGTTTAGACACGAAACACCTTTCCATGATTAGACAAATATCAGCTACCTCCAAAAACCACTGCGTGCAGGGTTATGAGCAAAGAGAAATAGAAATTATATATAGAATCCCACAGACATGCAAATAGTTATTCCTTCATTCACCTACACCCCATACGTGGTGCCCAGATTGGTTTTCTTTTATACTGATGTTGGGCTTTTTTCATACTTAGTCAGAAGAGAAGCCACATGGCTAGTTTGAAAGCGGATCAGATCCCTCGTTCATTTGAAAAGCTTATTTCTAAATAGTACTTGCAAATATGCGATGAGCATAAATTTGGAAAGTGCTGAAAAACGAGTTCTATGTGTCATAACACAGGGTGTTGGGTTTTTGAAGCATGACAAAAAGGCAAAGTCCTACCAAAAATCCACTTAGTGATGACCGACCAAAGGACTGGAGAAGTGACATTATTTCTGGCCACATTCCATGTTCCTTTTTGCTCAAGTAGATGAGCACATATGACCTCTTTGCAATGATTCAGGGTTTCAAAGCTGTCTCCTTAAGCCTCTCGATCACCACTTGTCCCTCCCCATTGACAAGCTGAGCACTTACAAGTTTTGAAGCCTCCTTGGCTTACTTTTAAATTTTCTTTTCCACATCTTATGCCAGCAGTTACCCAGAGGGAGAGAAAAAACCTCACCATATCCATCCTTCAAAAACTCTAACTTTCACTCTGCTAGTTCTAATCCATTATCTAGGCCCACTAATGTGTACTACATCATCAGAGGAGCAATGCTCTGATGATGTAGTACAGCCCATGTACATGTACATCATCAGAGTTATATCCTTCTGATCTGCCTGTGGGTTTAATAAGCATTCCAGATGGCTTGCTATGCCTGAAGCAAGAATGGATAATCACACAGCTCTACCCTCAAAACAATAATAAAATAAGGACACAGTAGCATAGGGGCTCATGCCTGCCAAAAACATTCAATAGACTGTATAATACAATAGTCCAATGTGATTGGTGAGGCACATTTATACCCTAGCTATTTACAGGTGAAAGAGACCTGGTTTTAAATAAAACAGAGGTTACAGATATGTGGTGTTATTGTTGTTATATACTGCAGTGAGGCTGCCGTGCCTGAGCCAGGCCCAGGGCTGTACCCTCAGATGTCCCCTATGCAAAGACACAGCTTCGGATTGGCAGGAGGAGGACGGCCTGATCTGAATGATGGCACAGCGGTGTTCCTCCAGAGCCATACAGTACCTGCATGTCTATGCTGTTATCTATTGGACTTGCAGGGTATCCATCAGCCCAGCGACCAGCCATCAAGTACAGTAGCAATAAGTGTCACAAAGCCTTTCTTACCCAAGTAAAATTACTCCTCGGTGGCGTTGCTTACAGCAGTGTGTGCCTGGCTGCTGATGTGCCTGGCGCTGCCATCCCAGCACTGGTTGTTGCAGAGTTGCTCCAAAAATGGCATTTTCCAATCGAAGATTATTACCCCTTTCCTTCCACGTTACTGTGCCACGACCAGGCAAGGCATGGAGTGCTATCCATTAGGTCCCAGTGATGTGCAGAATAAGCATCTCTGTGCTATTTAAATACTTATAAATGAAAAGTGTGTGTGAGGGGATGTTGTTTGTGAGAGGAGGGAAAAAAGTGTGTATGGACAAAAAAAGAAGAGATGGAGGCTCTGTTCTCTTAATCCTTTGAAAGAGTGAGAAGTGGAGGAAGAAGAAGCAAAGAAGCACTTTGGTTCAGTCTCCAAGAGTACCCTCTCTAGTAATAGGGTACATGGGACAAGGTACAGGCACAGTGGCTTGTACCCCCTCACCAAGAGGGGAGTGCACCCTCAGAGCTGCTGGAAGATGAGTACAGGGGTACTTTGATATCATAGAATCATAGGATGGTTTGTGTTGGAAGAAACCTTTAAGTGCACCCAGTTCCAACCCCACCATGGGCAGGGACGCCATCCAATCAAGAGGAATTTTGATGTGAACTCTAGCAGGGATAGGATTTCCATCCAGGGTTGCAGAGAAAGACCAGATACCCAGATAAGTACATCTTGTCTCCATAGGAGGAGAAGGTAAATCATCCCAACCCTCAACAGCTTTAACTCAGAGAAGAGTAGCCCGTCAACCATTTAGAAGTAGAAGACATCAACCATTTAGTGCGCCGATGGGTATTTTTTTCCCTGGCCAAACAAGTGGGTTCGAGTTTCGTTTTAACATTAAACGCTATTAAATGAAATGAATACAGCATGTTTCCATCGTACGTGTCGCTGAAGCTGCTGTGACAGCTACGAAGCTGCTAGGCATGATGTGTCAAGAAAATGTACCAGAAGAAAAGTACATGGAGCTACTGTCAAAAATACAAGCAGGACTGCAAACAGCATACGGCTTCATATGCTGTTGGAATCACTTTTTAATTGCACCTGTATACCCAGGCAGATCTTTAAGGGTTAACTGCACACAATGTAATGAATTCAATAATGATGAGTTAAAAAAGGTCTAATTAGCAAGTAACCACTTTATTATGAAAGGAAATGGTAATGAATTTAATAGCTCAAAATCATTAACAATATTTAGTTTGCTGGTACTTGTTCTCTATTATCCTCATTAATATGAACATTTAATATGTTTTAAAATGGATTTGTAATACTTTCTGTACCATGAGGTTACACTGACAAAAAGAGTGTAATTAATCTGTTAATTGTAATCTCTGTCTGTTTGTGCCCCAAATAGTAGCATATTTAGGTGTTAATATAAAAAAAAAAAAGAAAAAGTAATTAAAAGAAGGAAGTTTTTAAATGTAATTAAACAAAACCTCTTAAATTATAGGCTGAACCACTGTGAGGAAAAAGTTTTGGAAGTGAGACGTCTGAAAAACAGTTTCTCCTACTCAGATCTTTTCTCTTTCCTCATTAAAAGAAAGGCAGGGGGGGAAGAGAGAGGAAAGAAAGGAAAAGGAAATAGAAGCATTACTATTCTTTATGGACCAGAATATTGAAGCCTTCATTTCCTGAGCTGGAAACAAGGCTCAGGATTGTATCTTCTGGGACATCTGCTTATGAGTGGAATGTCTGGCAGGTGAAGGTGCCTCTCTGATGCTGTTCCACAAGTCACAATCCATGTGTGAGACCCTGTGGCAGCCCAATGAACTGGTTCCCCATAAGACACCCAAGAAACACCATTTCTTCCCACAGAATATCACAGCAATCCCCTCTGATCATCTAACCTTCTCCAGATCTCCCGCACCTCCTCTTCACATTGTAAACATCTCCCTCTATTTCCCCAAACCTGCTCTTGCTGCTGGCAATACCCCCAGTGCCATGGGGGCACCAAATCTGCTTCTGGCTCCAGTCCCCTTTCCCTCTAAGATCCTTCCCAACAAAGAGGAAAATGAAAAGCCAGACCCAGTCTGCTCTGTTACATCTTCCTTATTCCTGTCACACCTACAGTGGCCACAGTGCTGTGGAGCACAGTGGTCCCAGAGGCATGGACTGACACAAGATGTCCCTTCTACAGCATGTACCCCCTGGGTTCATAGAATCATAGAATGGTTTGGGTTGGAAAGGACCTTTAGATCATCCAGTTCCAAACCCCCTGCCATGGGCAGGGTTCAGAGCAGGCTCAGCTGGTGCTGGGCCCAGGTACAAATGAAAAGGTTTACAAAGCAACAAGAGTGGGAAGGACAGGAAAGAGCAGCCAGGCATTGATAGCTCCAAGGAAATACCTTACAGAATGAGGGGTTCCTGTGCTGACTTTCATTCTCCCTCTGGTACACATTGCCAGACAGGGTGACACAAGAAACTATGGCACAGCAGGGCACAGTACAGCATGAAAAGGCAAGACAAGGGAGCATCTGCCTTACGTAGTGCTGCCCTTTCACTCAGCTGTAAGGAAGAAGTTCCTGTGCCTGTTTTTATTCACTAGACCTGTCTCTAGTGAGCTGTATTCCTGTTTATAAAGCCAGCTTTAGCCAAAGCAAATCCCGACAAATTTTCTTTTGTGCTATATTGCATGTCAGTTTCTCCTTAATCCATGTGGAATTACTGCTCTGCCATTACCGTTTCCTTTATCCACCCTTTCCCTACCACATCCATTTTTAATGGCTGATTATAACCAATTAGGACCCTCTTCAAAATCCGTCCCATAAAAATGAAATCAGTGCTCAACCTTCCTTAATACCAGAAACTTTCGGAGCTGTTTGCTCTGTTTGCAGCACCATCTCCTCATTGAAAAAGGCCATTCCCATTACTTATCCATACACTGGTGGGCAGAGCACGGAAGGGCAGCATCCTGGCATCAGTGCCCCATAGGTGGGTGATCCACACAGCTTGGCACAGCACTAGCACCTTCCTATCTCTGGCAGTTGACTTGATAGGCTGATTTAAGGTGCAGTCACAGGGAGATTTCAGCATTATTCCTCTGAAATACTCCAGATCATTCAACCTCTTTGTTTTGTTTTGAACAGTGATGCTTGTGGTGCTTGGTGGAGGTGGGAGCAAAGTGCAGACACAGACACATGGTTACCCATGTTCATGGCGGCTCAACCAACTACAGAAACATTTAGTTGTGCGTGTTCCTGTGTCACTGTTCATGCTCCAGAGCATGTGTCCTGACCAAGAACCCATATCCATTCCACGCGGGCAGGCAGCCGGCAACAGGCCATTCTGTGTTTAATGGTTCTTCTAAGAAAAGGATCTAAAAGAAATGGTTGAAATTTAAGTGAAATATCTCATTTGCCTACAAATGACATATTTCAACTTTCCATTTTATGGGGGAAAAAAAAAAAAAAGTTGTGAAGGATTCTTTTTTTTTAAAAAAACTTATTACAATTTCCAATATTTTTTTTTTTTTGGATTGCCAGTGAAGAGAAAAATATGTGATTTGCAGAGCTCTAAAAATAACGAGTTAAAATAGTTTCTGCCTCTCAAAGGAGGCCTCTTAGTCCTGTAATTTCTGCAGATTTTGCCTTGCAGGATGGGTATTTTAAAGAATGATATAATGTCATTTCCATAAGTATCGTCTCATAATCTGCTGCCACTGTTGGAAATACAAGTTTAGAGACAGCTTGAGCAGTAGAAATACCAGCTCACCCAGCTCTATTAAAAAAATAACGTGAAACACTTGAAGAGGAGGAACAGGATATCTACTCCAAAGGTAAGCAAACAGTGCCAAACATTTCGAGACTATTTCTTTTTGATATCTGTCTTTGGCTGCATTTGCAACTCTTATGTGTTTGTCTGCTGCAAACAGCTCAGCAATGCCTGTTATAGGCTTGTTTATTCCTAGAAAGAAGATTTTAGAAAGAACACTCACATTTGGGCTGAAAGAATGCATAAAGTGTTAAAGTGCAGAAATAATACCAAGTGTCCAGCTGTAATAAAGGAGTGTTGCTCAAATTGGGGGTATTTACCTTCAGCTAATAGCAAAACAAAAGAAAACCAGCAAAGTTCTTAAAAATTCAAGTTACTCAAGCAAAGCATAAGAATAATCTATCTCCTGTCTAGTCCACCCCGTCTCTCTCACATCTTTCAACTTAATCTAATCATCTTTGCTCAGAGGGGACCTCCCTGGCCCCATTGCCCAGGACTCACCCCCAGTGCAGGGATGAAGCAGGAAGGGTCTAAGGGGAAGATGGGGCTTTGCTGCTGGAGGAGACCTCACCACAGTGCTCGGGAGTGAAACCACCACTTCCTGCTGTGTGGCCAACAGAGCAGACCTGCCCCTTCAAGATTAGCCACTTATGAAACAGCATTGGAGGCCCAAGAGTGTGCCTGAGAGAACAGCAAACATTTGTGGGTTGCAAGGAAAGAGGAAGAAGGCAAATACCAGATGGAGGGGAAAAAGAGACTAAAAAAATGCTGTCCTGATGGGAAATGGAGGAAACCAGACAGGAAAAAAATGGGGTGAAAAAGCACCTGATGTTTCAGCTACCATTTGTAATGTTTCAGGCAGACTTGCCCCCATGCACACTGGTTGTGCATTCCCATGCCCCAAGGCTATGCAAGAGAGCAGTGGTCCTGCAGCTACTACCAGGCTTACTCTTAACAGAGGGTCTTCCATCAGGTAGCACGTAACAGACCAGTCATCCAGATCTGTTTGAGAGCACAAGCACATTGCACACTGACCAAGCTACCCCTGCTTTCATAACTCAACCTTGTCATAAATAGAAAGCTTGCCCTAAAATTGTGGGAATTTTGGGAAAGAGCCTAAAGATTTTACATTGGACAGCTGAGCTGCCCTTCCTGGCTCCCTGCTCATGCTCATCACAAGAACCGCCGATCATGTGAGAAAGATTCAGGATTTATAGAAGGAAACTGAGCTTGGACCTTAAGTTCACTTGGAAAATGGAAGGTTTGTTCTTGGTAATAGTGAAAACAGATGCAGCTACAGCCAGAATGTCTCCCCCTTTCCACAGAGGAAAAATGACAGGGAAAGCCAAAGGAAAAAAACCATTTCTCTTGGTGCCAGCAAACCTCTGTTCTCTTCTGCAAAACAAGCAGGAAAGGACATAATATTTCTGCCCTGTGTTCAGATTTTATTAACTAAGATATAGGTATATATTATGCTCAACCTTTGCCTTGCAAGAGCACACTGAAATGTGTGGTTTGTATGATGAGAACAGTTTCTCCCTGACAGGCAGTGCTGGTTTCCAGAGATGGCTGATAGCCTGTTTCCTTCATAAGAACTGTTGCTCTTTAATCCTTGCAGTTGCTTTCCTTATCCTACCTAAAAGAAGGATCATACAGAGAGATGAATCCTTCCCTGTAGAGACACAAGACTATCTCCTCAGGAAATTGTACGAAAACCCTTATTGCAGAATGGGTGACCCTAACAAAATCTCTCTGCTTTGCGAACAACAGTGAAGAATCTGTCATTTACAGTAGTTTTCCTAATGGAAATAGCTCTATTTCTTAGACAAGAGCTAATTGAAAACAAACACCTCCTCCCCAGCTTGGGATGCCTCTCAAGAATGCAGATCCCAACAGTTTTCCCAAAGAAGAGGGGCCCCCAATGGCTCCTTTTCAGGGATACCTTTCCATCTTCTGAAGCACTCATGCAATGCACAGCCCTGAGCATCCCAACATTCAGATGACATAAGACAGGTTGTTCAAGTACAGCAGTCTCTCTATATCTATTTCCAAGCAAACAGTTACTGTTGTAGATACAGCAGATCTATTGTTCATCTCCAGATAATCACACTTATCTTCAGCACCTGCATAAGGTCTAAATATTATGCTCATTCTATGGCTCACAAACTTAGTTTAGTCGTTGATCTCTGGCTATGGAGCTGTAGCTCCTACTCTAGCCCTCACTAAAGCAGATTTCCCACTGAAAACTGAGTGATCAGCCATCGGAATTCTTACGTAAGCCCCTTTACTTCCTTCTTTTCCTTTAAGTCATAACTACCTAAGCTAGAAGAAAATGACAAATATCGGTAGTTTCTGAAAAGACACTAAAAGATTCCCCTCCCCAGCAATAATTTATTTTAAGCAAAAATACATTCCATCTAGACTTGCTTAAGACTCAGAGGTACATTTAACATACAACAGCATGAAGCGAAGGAGCAGCACAACTGTGCACTTGGCAGTGCACAAGTGTAATAATTTCCAGGGTAAATGGACTGGCAATTTTAGCCACATGGATAATATCAAGGCCAAGATGGCTAAATTCAGCCTGGCCTGCATCTGACTGAAGAAATTTGTCATAAGCAAATAGACACAAAGATGCATGTTGTTCCTGACTCCACCGATGACATATGCTAGCCTCCATCCTTTGGGTTATCAAGGCTAATTGTGAGCCGCCAAAACCACTGCAACATTGCAGGGTATTTATTTGCACAGTGCTATCGTGTGAACGGTGATTTCTTTTACTAAGATATAACTACCAAAAAACACCAGGAAGGAAAACAGAGTCATAAAGTTGCATAAAGCAATTAAGTCAATTCCACTACTCATGCCTAATCTGTCTTTGCATGCTGATCATTATTAACTTTGTTCCTTTCTGGGTACCCAACAGGGTCTTTTCAGCCTTGTTGTCTTATGTATAAGCCAGGAGAAGGTGGGAACACCCAAAGGACAATATCCCTTGCAAAGCTTGTATCATCAATGTAATTTCTCCGCTCATGGCAAGGCAGATTTTACTCTCCAGATCCAGATGCATCCTTGGGTGACTGCACTACCAAAGGAGTATCTCATATCTCAGCGTTTTTGTCGGGCTGATACAAGAACTGTTGCCTCAAGCAGTTTGGTCCTTGCACATGAGTTAATGTGAGTAAGGACTGTGCCTCCCTGAGATAACACAGGGATGATGGGTCCCCAGACTCACCGGTGATGAGATTTGTCTCATGCACTAAAAACACCTCTTAAAACCTCCTTTTTACAATAGAATACCATTAAAACACTGATGCATATCAAGAGGAGTGCTAGTCCAGAGGGAAATTCAGTGTTTCCAGTCTCTCTGGGAGAAGGCAACCACCTTCACATCCTTCTCACTGTATGTAAAATGTACCCCAAAGGAAGTACAACATGCATGCCCTTCTGCTGCTAGCTAGTGAAAACGCATGGAAATGCCATGGGCCCACCCCTCACCATCAAAGCATGCCCTATAGAATTTAATAAGCCATTACCATCTTCCTACTAGCTCCTTTGGTTCCCAGGGGAACCTACCAGTGACTCACAGGGTATTTCCAGAAAGTCTATGGAAAGTCTCTCTCACTGTCTTTGTAATTCCAGAGTCTTTTAAGGCAGTTTCTCTAACACGTTCCTTTATCATCCACTGCTCTGAGCATGGGCACATTGTGTAGGGCTTCTCCACAAAGCCTAGCAGGCAGGGGTTGTGATCCTGGCACCTCCACCAGCAGTAGTGGCTGCATCCTCAATCAGAGGATGTATGTACTCATTATCTGATATGTGAATAGACATGGCTGGTGGCAATGATTAGTATTTTTCTTTGGCAAGGTCCGTATTAACAGATCAAAATACTGGATTTAAATATCTTAAAATATGTAATTTTGTAGTAAATATGGGGCCCTGGTCCAAGCCTTCCATAGGTAGTGAAATGAGGTACTTCTAAAAGACGTATTTGGTGCCATGACCTTGAATTGCTCTCTATACACAGAGGAAAAATTGTGAATCTGTCACAGAATGTCTCGTGTTAGTTTAGTATGGTTTTGCCATATACATCTACATAAAAGTAATTCAATACTTTCTCTATATATACACACAGAGAGAATCCACAAAGGCATCCCAAGCACTCTTGAGTCATTTCCAGATTCCTATGTGCGGAGCAGGAATTTCAGTGCTCTCTTGGTGCAATCAGCAGCAGCCTATACCATAATCAGGGGGGTGAGGGGGGTCGTTGGTAGTCTTCTAAAATCTCAATCTGCATTTATAAAACCAAGCAACTACAGACTGTCTCTTATGGCATGAAGCAGAAGGAAAACCTAGACTGGTCACAGGCAGTACTTTACATAGCATTTGGGTGGTCTCGGACCAAGGGTATGTAGAAAAGGCTACATTAAACACTCTTTAATCACACAAGCAGTGTTTTTCTTCAATCACAGGTAAGAAACAGTGGAAAATTTGTCTCTGGTTACCAGCAATGCAGGCTGAACACACACCCCGAAAGGACTGCAGAAAGTATTTTGGTAGGGAGACTGCAACACCAGGAGAGACATTTACCCATGTATAATTTATACTTTTTAGGACACTCCTAACAAAGTATGGCTGTTTGCTTTTCCATTAGGGAGCATGGGAAAGGGGAGACCTCACGTGATTGGAACACCTCCTGTGTTTCAGTTTTCTCCTTTCTCTCTACTCTGTTCTCCACATCTCTTGGGGTTCTGATCACAGAAGTCTTTGGGAAAGTTTATTTTATCTACCCACAGAAGCTTTACCCATTGATGAAGGACTCATCTAGTAAGTTGACATCATCATGTTTTCATAACCTACTATTCCCTGAATCATCCTGGTCCTCAGCAGGGATTTTCATGGCTTGATAAAGCTAGTACTTATATGAATATGCTACCTGTGATAATAAATTAGTTCCTATTTAAGGTTTCTGATTAAACTTTGAATAAGGGTCAGGATGGGTTTTATAACTGTTACTTTCAAATGCAGAACAAGAGTAACATTCAAAGAGGTGGAAGCATAAAGGCGCTATTGTGTTCTTTATCTATACTATACATCTACACCACCCTGCAAGGGGCAATGCCTACAGACACCTCTACCTGGATGGCTGGAAACAGTTTCTACTAAGGTGTATTTTGAATATCTTCCAAGGCAATATCTGTTCTAATGAAAATTAGCAAGACTCCTTTCTTCTTTCCTCCTAAGGTGAGCTGTTTGTACAGTTCCAGTGTATCAGGTCCTCTTCGGGCACTCCTGGCTACGAAACACTCTGTTTCCCAGAAATGGAGGTTTACAGCTAGCAGCAAAGAGCCACGCAGAAATAACCAACTGTGCAAAAACACAACTCCTAAGTGCTCCCTACTTTCAACCATCAAAAAACCCCTGTTAAAAAAGCACAGGGATAGCACAAACAGATGTATCTTAATTCTCTCCTTCACCTCTGTGTTTAAACCCAGCCAGAATTAACACACTGCTGGTATCCAAAGGTGCAGACCTTGTTGTTCTAAACCTCCTAAAGTTGTATTGCTCTGGGAAAGGACAGGAACCATAAAAAGCCTTAGCTGGGAGGCAGCTTTTATACTCGTGTTCAGGCCTCTAGTAAGTTGTCCCACGAAATGTAATGAGACCTCCTGCTTAGCCAGGGCTCTTATTTCCATAGCCTGTGCCTGCAGTGCTCTTATATTTTATAAGCCATATTAACTCACCTCTTGCACCAGGAGGTTGGGGCAGTGGCATGCTGTCTAATAATGGAACATATTTGTTAATACTAATAGACATTTGTAAAACTACCACATGCCTTTTAGCCTTCAAGTCAAAGCACAGGATGCTTGCGAGGGTTGTGAAATGTATGATGTAAAACTGGGGATGTTTTGGTTACAACATATCTCATTTATTTTGACTGTCATCACCCTCCCTGGTATATAATACCTGCTGCATGCAGAGTGAAATATTGCAGATGTTTTCAAAATAATTCTGGGCTGGTGGAGAAACCAAAAGGTCTCTTGTGCTTAAGGTCTGGTTATTTTCAATTCAAAACAACCAGGCAACACAGTTTCTGTGTGCTGGTATTTTAAAAGGCCTGGATTCCTCTGCGCTGACTCATGCTTGCACTGCCCACCCAAAACCTTACCTCTGAGAACTTGTGGAGAGAGACTCCAGCCATTTTAATACCCTCAGGAGTGAAGAATGAAGAGTAAAAAGATAAAACTAGTTTTAACTATTCATTAGTTTTGGGTACTTCAGATAATTTGTGCAATGGCTTCGGGGGTTTAATTGAATCACTTTCCCCACCTTGTCTTAATTTTAATTATACAGCAATCATTTTTACCAACCTGTGCAAAGGAGCCATGTGAAAATGTGACATATGACAATATACATTTACCTAAGCTCTAGGACTACTCTGACCTACAGGCAATTAGCTACTGCCTCCAGCACTCAAACGACCAATTAAAGAGTTAACAAAATGCCCTCCAAATCACCTACATGTTCAGGTTTTTGGACTGCCATGAACATTATACTTCAACTGATGTAATTTTTGACTGACTGATTTACTAAGTCTGCATCTGCTCAAATTCTAGAGCCATGACTGGGAAACCAAGGAATCAGATTTGATGAGGTGCTTTCATTGTCATTAAAGTCGATCCCACCTTAGCCCTTTCCCTAACAAGACAACCTTGCAGTAGTCATTACAAGACGTGATCCCAGCTTGTCATCAGGGGGAAAAAATGGCTTGCTAGGTCAATGAGGACTGCACTAAGTTCATCTCAAGGATGTAAGACATCCCTCTGAATGGCTAGCAGCCAAGAACAAAAACTTAAAGAGTCACAAAGGATTGGGTTTTCCAAGACATGTCTCCCAAAGTTTTGCAGGTAGCTGATTTCGGGAATCCAGAGGGATTGGATCAGTAGTCACGAATTGACACCTTTACATCTGTTCATGATTTACAGTGTACTAGTGAGCATTCCACTGCAGACAACAGATCATTAACAGCCAGAAGTGCACGACAGAAGTGATCCCAAACCAGACAATTTCAAAGAAAACGTATTCAAGTGTGTTCTTGCCCTGGAATAAGGGAGACCCAGGACACTGCTAGTTATACCGAGGGGGAAGTGAAGACTAGTAATCTGTCCAGGAAATCCCAAGTTCCAGTCCTGCCTCCAACAATAACTCAAGTTGTGGCTTTGTAATCTCCTTTCCTCGGCTAGCAGTGGGGGATAACAACATCTCTTGACATATATTGTACATGGTGCCATGAGGATTGACATTGCTAAAGTGCTTTGAAAGTGAATGAATGGTCTGGGTGACCCACCAGGGTCTTGCATGTTGGGTATTCTAACATAATTCAGAAGAGTTCTGCCTTCTGTGAGCAATGTGGTTTCATAATGGTAGAGATTGATTTGCAAAGCCATCATAGCTCCTATGCAAGAAAAGCATGACTCAACAATAGAAAGTGCTGATCTATGAGGTTGGTACAGACCTGAGACTTCTATAGAGATTCTCAGCTAAGCTGATGCTGCTTCTCTGGAGCTGATTCACATCATCTGTGCCATGATCATAATGCTCTGAAGAAACTTTTCCTGGGTTTGAACAGAAGTATTACTGATTTGTCTTCTCTGGCCACAGAGAACCAAATTCTGCCCAGATTTACACCAGTGAAGTTCTGATGGCTTTGCAAGACCCAGTAGATGCTGCTCTTCTGAAACTGAAAGCACACCAAAAAGCCAACCCAATCTTTTGGGTGCCATCAGAACCTGAACATAGAGCTAACCAATCCAGAATGGGATTTCTTTTCCACCCTCTGTACTTTCATTACTCAGACAAGGCCTTCAGGGCATGTTGGCCAAACAGCTTCACTACACAAACATGTAGTAAGGTGAAGAGAATGACATTACAGAGATAAATGAATCAGCCCAGTGACTTAAGGCTACTTGTCTTCTTGCCTACTATGTGGGGTAACCAATGCCTGGCAGTAGCAACCTTAGCTCTCCTGTTTTCCAAGTCAGGGAGCATCACGGAGGTGATACACTTGGCCTTCAAGGGTTTGGGGAAATCAGTACTGGCAACATGAAGGACACTTAATGACAGAGTCAAAGAATGCTGTTTTATCAGTGGAGGACAGTGGGAAAACAGGTAGTTATCAATGGCCAGATAAGAAGAAGAAGAAAAGCAGAACAAAAAGCAACCTACAACCCCCCGAGTGCTTTATTTTGTTGGCTGTATTTGCTCTACAGTCCAGTGAAAGTAAAAAACATCAACTGCTTGACACCAGGGGCTTCTCTGCTTTGAAAAACAAGTAGACAAATTCAACAGTGAAGAGTCGGGATTCCATAGGGTTGTTTATGTATGGCATACATGCAAATGCATATGATTATGTAGAAGTGTGTCTGTGTGTAACGTAGCATTAACACCAATTCTTACAGCCTTATGAAATGGTATATTAAAAAGAAAGAGAGAAAGAAAGGAAAAGCAAGCTAGGTTTCTTTTTCCTCTTTTACAAATATGATGCAGTTTACAGAAGCATGGTCCTTTTTTAGGAGGAATTCTAAATGCATCATTCAAATATTGTTTGAGCTGAATACATGATATACATATCATGAATACATATAATCACAGCACAGTCTTTTGTGGAAGTTCTGAAAATAGCTTTGGAAAAAGCTGACCATGAGTTTCCATCTAAGGATTTGCATTTGGTTAACATGTGTGAACCGATTCCATTCATTTCATCCTCAATGGGAACTATCCTGCTGAAAAGTTTGGCCTGAATGACAGGAATCATTTATGTGAGTCTGATGTCAAGGACAGCATCTACAGCCACTAGATGAAATTGTGAGAATGAACTGGGGAACCCCAATGATCTAAAAATCCCTGTACTATAATAACTACTGTACTGCAAACTGCAGTCAAAAAAGATGAGGAGCCTCATGGCAAGTGAAGTCTTAAGTAATCTGCTGATTTTCCTATCATTTTTCCACCAGTTTCCCTTCAACAGGGAATGTTAAGATTGCTGGGAAGGCTCAAACTTCCTTCTCTCCAGCATCAGTCTTGAAGGATGTAGCCTAGCTTCTCTATTGCTCCCATTGCAGACTGTTGGAGAAAGAAAAGGCAGGGAAATGGATAAATTACAGTAAAAGGGGCAATGAGATGGGTGAATCAGAACCTCCACAACCACTCAGCCCTCAGCTGGGTGCATGGGGCTGCTGGGAAGCATCACACTGCAGCGGGAGGTCCACACTGAGGGTGTCTGGGGGTCAGAGGAGACATCCCTGCCCTCTGCAGATGCTGTGGGAACGGGTGAAACTGGAGGATGCGGGAAGGGTGGCAGGGAGGGCTGAGCGCTCTAAGTACCATGTTTCCTAGGAAACATGCTTCGACAGCAAATATCACATTAGTCCTGCCTTGTGGCCCAGCTCATGTGATGTCAAGAACAATTTCTCACAACTCAGCTCAGGAGGTTAGCAAGACTTGGTGAAATGTTCAGTGATTCTGGCCTGACTTCTCCAGCTGGGACTGAAACAAGAAACTGAGGGCGTTTGCATCGTTTTGGAGGTTTGTGACAAATTCCTAAGCAAACCTTTGACTTATTTATTTATTTGAAACGCTATGGTGGATTTCTCTCGTAGCCTCACAGGTTTCCAGAGACTGCAATCACTATGTTTACTCTTAAGCACTCCATTTAACAAAAGAGATATTCCAGAACTGAAAATATAGGGGGGAAAACGGAAAACCAAGCAATCTCATGGAAAGCCTCAGAACAGTTGGATCACTGTTTAGCTTGTGAACTGATTTAGAAAGCTCCCTCGTAGACTTAGGATATTACAAAACTTCATTTACAACTATCCTTACTAATTTCTGTCAGGTGTAGCCTGGAAATATCCATAGCCTGGCAGGTTTAACTAAGACAGGCATAAGCCCTGGCAGAACAACTCATGTATTAGATGCACATCAAGCCTCCAAGAGGGCTCCCACCAGCTCCTTAGGCTGGGGTTCAAGTACCTTGGACTGGGATGCAGCGTTTTGCATCTCAAGGCTGCACAACATTCTAAGGTTGAGTATTCTGGGGTTATGTGGTACCACAGACCACAATGGACCTGTTGTACACAGCTTCCATTCTTCTTCCTTGAATTCCTGCAAACAGGCCCTACTGGAAGGTAACCACAATGTGTTGCAGAGAAGTCCCACTGTGCTGCCATTTCTACTGGCTTCACATTTGTGGCTTCAGTGGAGTTTCTCTGACTTCTGTTTAAGAGAAAAAGAGACTAAAACTGAAAAACCTTCCTCTGGTGACACACTTCATCTCATACTTAGTGAGATATAAAGACCTTTTTAATAGAAAGTAATATATTTAAACAAATTAAAAATAGCCGCAGTAATTTCTTTTTAATCATAAGCTAACTTAGGTGTGTGACCTCTTTATTTCCTTTTGCTGTTTCTTATCTTCAGTGATTTGAGCCCTTGCATCCAGGAGGTTTTTTTTCCCCTCCTTCCCAGGGAAATGAGAGATGAATAGAAAAAGAACAAGACTGCTTGAGGTACCTGAGAAACTCCAGCATAGAAATAGGTCCATCTCTTCCTTTCATCCCATTTTAGATATAGGAGGCCTGGTGGATCAGCTTTTCCTTCAGGAAAGCCAGGATTAAAGAGGTCAGGTCAGCAGTGTGAGAATGCCTTTAAGAACAGTGTGGGAACACAAGACTTCCTTATTAGCACATTAATGTACTGAACCTGAAGCTCATTTAAACAAGATGGAGCCAGCTGACTTCTTCCCTCCTCAGCCTAAGTCTGCTGTGTCCTTAGAGCTGTTAGATCGGGCAAGTGACAAACCTCCACAGCCGAGTGCTAGTGGAAATCTCATAAAACAGAACAAGCACAACATTAGGATTTACTGACCACCGTAAAGATTTCTCTTAAGATTCAAAAGCAGAGGTTTTACAGGTGGGGAGCATGACAGCAAAGGGTCCAGCTGAGATTACACAAGGTGAAGATATACTGGACTGTTCAGCAGAAATGTGAGTCCCCTTGACCCGCAAGCGGCTTTGCAGGCAAACAGCCATTCCTCATGGACATGGTGCTCAACCCACACCATCATCCCCTCTGCTCCTGGCTCCCACAGCACATCCCAGGCTCCATCCCCAGCTTGCCTTCACTTTCCTCTCAGCCCCATGCCTGTCCCTAATAGTAACACCATCTCCTCAAATGAAGGTGGCTTTGTGGAGAGCTGGAGGCTGTGAGGAGAGGTGGGAGCTGACCCTCACCAGGTACAGATGATTCCACATGGGTCCCTCACCTCAAGGCAGCACACTGCCCCTCTGGGGAGGTGGAGTGAGGAATAGGCCTGTACTGAATAGTGCAACAGCAGTAAAATAGGAATAATAATAATAATAATAATAATAATAATGCTGTTTCTAATGTGAAACACGTTTCTCTAGATGTAAAATAAGACAGGGGTAAAAGGCTTTCAGATGAAAGAGGGGAGACTGAGATAAGATAATAAGAAGTTCTTCCCTGTGAGGGTGCTGAGGCACTGGCACAGGGTGCCCAGAGAAGCTGTGGCTGCCCCATCCCTGGCAGTGCTCAAGGCCAGGTTGGACACAGGGGCTTGGAGCAAGCTGCTCCAGTGGAAGGGGTCCCTGCCCATGGCAGGGGTTGGAGCTGGATGAGCTTTAAGGTCCCTTCAACCCAAACTAGTCTGAGGTTCTATGAAAATCAAGGACTTTAATCTTTCCCAGCTGACAAAGCCATGCTGCTTTATCTTGCATACTCTTTTTGAGCCTGGGCTACCCACCCTCACACACATGTACTGTACACATGTCATATCTCTGAGACATGCAAATGTTATCTAGCCCTGCCTGCGGGGATGAAAGGGCTGAGCACACCCACCTGATGAGGCAGCATCTCCAGAGCAGTCAAAGGGAGAAGGCTCTTCTTACATCAAAGTTGTCAGATGGGGTTGTTTTCTTCATACAGGCATCAACTTTTCCTTTCTTTCTTTTCATTTTCTTTAAAGTTAATTATATCCCAGAGCAGTAAACAGATCTTGTAGCACTTACAGCAACTGCTACTCATACATTAAGGACCTGAGCAAATGAAGATTTAAACTCTGGTAATGCATAAATAGACATGTCACATTTACCTGAGATACTTGGATAAACATGCCCCTTTTCTTCTCAGCTGCCTACAATAAAAACTAATACCTCATCCACAGGATGAAATGCATCCACGTGCACATGAAACCTTTAGGGTCCCTACCAGCATGTTTTCACCTGTTGAAGTACTGAGATGGAGAGGCAAAGAGCTAGATTAATACTAATGCAGACCTAAACAATATCTCAGTATCTTATAGATGAATGATTTTCAAAAGAATTATCTGTCCTTATCGTAAGGAAAAATCTATAACTCATTCTTAGCCTTTCATCACTAGGAGGAAATATACTGCAACTTCATTATCTGTTCTTATTTTTCTCTCTATGTGTATTTATCTCTCTGGCTCATTCTTTATCTATTCAGCCACCCGCGATCACACAAGTGCAAAGTTCATGTGGGGCCCAAGCCAGCCCTCCCATTTGCTCATCTCTGACCTCCAATAAGCAGCATACAGCTTGTTTTCATACTCTACACTGCATTTTTCCCTAGCTGCAGCTGAAATCCCATCCTCACACGATGTCTTTTTGTCCTGATGGGACACTGTGTGGTTAAAATCCACACAGAATCAATCTCAGCACTATAAATCTCAACAGGAGGGGCTGGAGCTGAGCCTTCCACCAAGCCCGTACATGTCCCAGCCTGGGGCTTTAGGTTGGGCATATTTTGAATTCCAGCTTGTTAAAGTTACCTGCTCCTGCACCCGTCTCCCCTCCAGCTCCCAAAGAGGGTCTAGGGCTTCTTCCAGCCCTTACCTCAGTGTTTTCCAACCTAATGATTAAGATGTGCAGGTACATTTCTGGCTTCCTGACCCACGAGGGCAGTAACCCTATCCGTACACCTTCTTCCCCTAGCGCACTGCACTGCTTACCCAGAAGAGCCGAGATCCCTCTTGTGTGCACACATGCGCCTTGTGGAACCTGAATCACTGGGATTTTGCAGTAAGATCAAATTTCAGCCCTGATAGTCATTCATTCACTCATTCATTCATTGAAAAGGATACATGGACTTCATCCTGCCCAAAAATGAAAGCTGTTTTTTTCCGGGGCGTATTGCATGCTGCAGCCAGTGACTGGATGCCCTGTTTGGGACATGTGTCCTTTGTAGAAGATTCCCCTATTACATCAACTCAGACATCAGCTAGCGAGAAAAATTCCAAGTGGGAAAGCATATGATTTCCAGTTTGGCACCGTGATACTACTGCTAATACAAAGAGTAAGCATTTTCTGCTATAGCCTGGAAAGAGTTTGCCAAAAGTCAGGCTTTTGTATAAAAATAGCTGCATGTCCACATCGCTTAGTTTCTCTCAGAAATATACAAAAAATACAAGCATTTTTTGATAGCTTTACCCTGCACTGCCCAGCCACATTAAGCCACAGTAAACTACATTCTTATGGTTGTCATAACATTTTGCTCTGTGTTGCTTGTGACACGGATAATCTATTAAGATATATAAGGTGCAGAATGGTGCCTTTATGTCTCCAAGTTCCTGCAATCTGCTGCAAGAACCCAGCACAATTACTGCTGGAGAGGTGCAGGAGCGACTCCTCGCCACTGCTGCAGCCCACCAGAGGGTCTGGGCCAGTGACTCCAGGCAGGCATGGCCACAGCCATAGGGGCTGTGGGGACCAGCCTTCCTCCCATTGCACTCACCCTCCTCCTCGCCTACCCCAGCCTGTCATCAATCTTACTAAAATGACAGCAGACAAATGTTAGCCTTTGCAAAGATCAAATGAAATCTATGGCTTTAGGGCTGTTCACCAAGGAGCAGAGTAGTCTACACCAGACACGGGCACCAGCAGTCACCTCCTCTGCATCAACCCGCCTTGAATCAGTTTGGCAGCCATCACAGTCATCTCTCCACAGGCAGCCCGAATCCTGAAATAGATTGTGACAAACTTTAATGTTTTAGCCTCTCCATAGAGTTGTTGGGGGATTTTATAGCAAGATTGCTCATTCGAAACTTTTTTGGGTGAGAGTTTTGAGTGTGTTTGGGGTGATGTTGGGAGGGGGATTGCGTTTGCAGTCACATTGACAGGCAGGAATTTGTTCGGGTTTAGCTCTCTGGGACCTTACATGTTCAGTAACCTGAATTCTGCAGGCAAAGGGGAGGGGAGGGAAAAAAGGAAAAGGGGAAAAAAAAAAAAGAGATTACTCCATGGCATAAATATGCTGTATGTGCCCTTGTCTCATGCAATTTCTTTACATCGATGTGCAGGAATATTTATCCCCAGTAGAAATGTTTAACTAATCTGGTAAATGTCAAGCCATATGGTGTACATTGTAAGGATTTCATCAGGCCTTTTTAACTCTTTGTGAAAGTCTCTCCCTCTCTTTCCCTAAGCTTCCCCCCTTCCTCTTTATTTTTCCCCCTTTGTTGCTGCCCCCCAGAGCCCATGAGGAAGGAGACAGTGTGCGGAGTGTTATTAAGATGAGTTAGATCAGGGGGGTGATACTCATGTTTTATAATATCAAGCAATATTAATCAGAAGTGCAACTCATGGGGCATCTTTTTTGCTGGGCAAAGAGACCCACTGCATGTTTTATCAGCAGTGACCTGCAGAAGAAGATCACTAATACTTATTTCGTTAGACAAACTCTCCACCCCAACAATACACAAAGTTCCGAGGAGCTACCTCATCTCTTATTGCTTCCTTTGAATAATCGAGTCTTTACAACAAATAAGCTGCACTTTCAAGTAAAGGAAATGTTTCTGTACAGTTACTATCTAGTGTATATCCCAAAAAGAGTGCGATTTACAATAAGCAGTATCAAAAAGGAATAAACCGTTCTATTAGTGCCAATCCTTGTTCATGGTTTTATAATAAGACATATCTGTTTTCTTCCTATAAATCTTGACTCTATTTTTAGTTTGCAAATAATGATTCCAGTCTTTGGCTGCCTGCCACTTCTGTGGAAAACTAGAATAGCCACAGCGCAAGGCGATAATATATAAGGAATAAAGGAAATTAAAGAAGAGAGGGATCTTGTTGAACTCTGTGTAGTCCATACCAGGACAGACCTGTTCGAGATAGTGATAAGTGATGCACATGAGCAGAATGCATCAGGGAAAGCAGGAGCAGGCTGGATATTCGGTCCAACTTCCACACCTATTTCAGAATCCTTTTACCCAAAACAAATCACAATGGTTTGTACCTATATGGGGTTTTTGCTGCATCACCAGTGCGTGGTCGCACCCAGCAAGCCCCTTCTGGGCACCACTGCTGCCTTTTCATCTTAGGGGCCACTGAATCTACTTTCAACATCTGAGTGCAGAGACAGAATCTGCAGGCAAAGGATTACAGAGCATTCCTTGCTATAGTACAGCCCAGGAATAAAAGAAATAACAGGAGAAACTATCACCTTCAGCCGTGGCCTCTGGACATTTTAGAGCTGTGGAAGGCTAGGGAGGGGGAGCTGCAGGTCAAGGAAAGGATAAGATCTGGGTGTCTGGGAATGGGGAGGGAGAAAGAGGAATGTGGTGAAGGAGGTAGAGAAGGAAAAGCAGGGAAATGACAGCATTCAGATAAATTTAGCTCAGAATCCAAACTTCAGGGGGAGGGGAGGCGTTTCCTGCCCCAAACCTCTGAACTTTCTGAGACTCTCCCATATCACGAGTGATTTACCTGTAAAGAGAACTGAAAAAGGGGCGGGGGGAGAAAAAGAGAGAGAAAATGGAAATAAACAGTTCTCTGGTGTTTAAACAATCCTTCCATCCTACTCCCCCAGGGTCAAATGTTCACGCACAAGGACACAAACAAAAAAAAAAGCCAAAGGAAAGAAAGGAAAATCACTTTAAAAAGAGGATTTTTACACAAATGCATTATCCCCATTGTACCAGCTGTTAACACAACGCGCCTTCCCCACATACCTGCTAGTTCCCTAGCTCCAAAGTATTTACTGGTACATCCTGCTTCACTTCACATCATTTTTAAGGGCATTGGTGAGTAATAGTATGACAGCTTTGTAGTTATCAGAACTTTGTTATGTGCAAGCATTTTGGAAAACACACAACAAATGCAAGGCTAAGCTGTAAACACACCAAAGAAACAGAACAAGAAAACAAGTATTAATAATGAATCAGAAGCACTAGCCCAAGAATTTTACTGTGGAAGCTATAAGGTGAATGTATCTATTAGCCGTATATATATATATATGCACATATGTATAATTTCTCACACTATCTGCCTGTATAGGCAGACTGTATAGCAGCCTCTCAGTATGCAGGAACTTGTTGACAAAGACTTCTGCAATAGCCTGTGTGATTTTGCATTATTTCCTTTAACTGAACCAATAAGAACTGCACTACTGCACTCCTGCACTCCTGACCTTTGCTCAGAAGGCTAATTTGAGATTAGGGTAGTCTCAGAGTAAGAAATAGGAGGTGCATTTTTAAAGCATAGAAACATTTGTATAGTAATAGAAGATTAAGGTCAATTCAGTACCAGGATCCTTTCAGCCCCAAACTGCTTTGCTCTTAAAGGGTACTTTGGAAGGACTTTGGTGAGACAATGTAGTATCTTAATATCAGAAAAGTTAAATTCACTCAGCTTTGTCTTTGTGCTGAGTGTTTTAGGGCTTGTAATAAAGATGCTGCCCATGACTTTGAGTTCTTGGTGTCTTTACAGTCACCCAGTAGGACATTCAGAAGTCCCTTAGGAAAACTTACACAAGAGCATAAAATATGTCATGCCAGATAAATGACTCTTTGTGGCTCTTATATTATTCTGGACTAGGACTGAATGTTGCAATACTTAAACCATGTGTAGTAGCCAGGGAATGAATGAGACAGGCTCCTCAGTGGGAGAAGGAGACCCCAAGTGATTTGGGAGAAGATAGGAGGAAAAATGTTTTGATTACAGCTGTGAACATTATGCCAATATACTAGACAGAGCCTGCTGCATGACTCTGTGCCAAAACACAGAGCAATGACTAAGGCCCAGATGAAAAAAGGGACCGAACAGCGGGGGGAGAGTGTGTGGTTTTAATATGTGTGGATTTACTCCATGTGTTCTCAGGCACAGTGATAAACAAATAGAGAAGCTGCATGCGGGGCCAACGGCAACCCAGGCTCCAGCGTCTGCTCCTGGTTCTGCTCCTGCCTCTATAGATTTGTGGCTGCTTGGGTGTGCTGTGCCTTCAGCCTCACCAGGATACACCTGAGCCAGCCATGACTTAAAAGAAAACCTAGTGAAGATGATAAGGAGTTTTCTTCTCAGGTTTCCCTTTCCCCATGTGCTCCATCAGCTTACATTTTCTCATGCAGAGGCTGGAGAGAGGGCAGAGCTGTGCTGTGCTTTTCACTGGGAACAGGAGGCAGAGACGAGCTGTTGTGCTGAAACTGTTCCCTTTGCCATGTAAAGAAGGGACAGGATGAAAAGAGCGAGCTGGAGACCAGATAACTGCACTGCCTTTCTGCAGTGCTGTATACAGAATACTCATATTCAGAGCTGTAATGTTCGAATAGGGCTGATCGTGCTGTCCTACACAAGGGCATTCATGAAGTCAGAAGGAATACTTCAAGCAGTGTGGCTGCAGGTAAAAGACCAAACAGTCACTGCTGCAACGTGGATTTAAGGTCTGTTCCCTCTATTTACACATGTAGATATTGTAACGCTGCTATGCAAACAGTCCTCTGTGGACTTTTGCTTGTGGATCTTATTATAACACGTTCCTGCCTATGAATGGCACCTTTTCCTCTGCAGTATCTGCTGTTGTGCCCTTTGTGCTTTACCTCCTGACTCTCTTCTGGTTTTGTTACTTTTTGTGCTGGCAGGGTTTAAAAAGTAGGAGATGAACTTTCCCTTCTCTTCTCCAAGTGATGCTCACGGCGTGTGAGCTGCAGTTGCATTGTATTCCCTGAACTTTGCAGCCACTGGAAACACGAACAGTATGTCAACTTGTTCCTGTCTTTGCAAGAGAATTCAAGGTCAAGCTGACCAGTGAACTCTCGTATTTAAACAGGGTAAGTCAATGCTCATCTACAGCACAGAAACTGCCTCTAGGAAAGATGTTAACCCTGTGATGGGCCTCCAGACAGCACAGGCCGTGTCATGGCTCTTAAAGCAGTTTGCTGCTGCTGTCAATAAGAGCTGGACATACTGCATATGTCTACCAGGCCTGAACAAGTGTCCCTTCTTTGGATGTGCACCGTGCACTGGAGGCCCTCAAGGGGTTAATACATGCCATTCCCGAGTTCAGTGAAGGGACAGGGAGAGCCGAACAGCGGGAATTTCAGGATGTTAATAGCCTCTTCTCTTCCGATTGGCCCAGAACGAATGCAGGGTACAGTAAATTGTCCTTGTCAGCTTAGCTCACATGATGATATGCTTTATTTCTTGACATGCCTTGAATCTGTCCCTTGAATTTATGTTCAGAAAATAAACACTTCCAGACGGCAATAAAGCATTCGGTTGTAGCTGGCTGTTGCACAGGCTCAAGCCAACCGAAGCCATTTGCTTTAGAGTTTCTAGAGCTTGCAAAGCTTCAGCTCTGTGCTTGTGCTTCCATCAGTTCCTGCCCACGTTAGCAAGTGCCCCCCTCCCTCCTCGGACCTGAGGGGATGTCCCAACTTACTTAGGAAAGCTCCAGAGAGTTTCACTTCTTTTCCATGCATCCTGAAAGGTGACATCAGGCACACAGACCAGCCCTCTCATGTCTCATAGAAGGCAACACTGAGAGAAAAGAAATAACTTAATGGTAGCAAATTGCACCATGAAGATATCAATGATTCAGAATATTAATTCCTTACCATTAAATCCCCCATAAATAGATACCTTTTTTGTCTGATGTGGCTGAGAAAACAGTCAGTGGCTGGAAGATGTTTAGGAATCTTACATGCAATAATCCCCAAGTGTTGCTGACAAACACCCAAATAGAGCTGCAGTGTTAGTTTGCAAGCAGTGATTTTATGGCTATCCTTTCTCTCCTCAGTCCCCCTCGATAACAACAGTTTATAACTGCATAGTAACAGTATAGGGGAGTTTGGCAAAAATCGATGGTAAATGCGCATAGGAGACAACAAAAGAGCAATACAAACAGAAAGAGCCTCGTTACAGCTTTAGTTTATTAGAGATGTGTGGATATTAAAATGTTTCCTTCAACCCAAAGGCACTAGGAGAAGAAATACCGAGTTATATCCACCACGTTTAGGTGTGGGCAGCCAGCACCCAAATACTATACCTGGAACACACCTGAAGAGTCCCATTCATGGGTGGTTTTCATTCTTCTTCCATTTGCCTTCACAATTTCTGTTCAAGCCCATTCCTCCTCAAAAAAGCACCCACGCAGGAGCCCACATGGGGCCAGAAGTAGCTTGTGTGTCACCTGAATGTGCCTGATAGTGAAACTATCTGGCAAGGAGTCTGGAGAACAGCTGGGCTACTGTTCTGTTCTAGATTATAAACTCATTAGGAGATAAGGAGGCAAAACCAGGAATGCTTCAGGTGGGCAGGAGTAAATTCCCATGGATTGCTTGTTGGTGGGAACAGCTGCTACAGTGCTAAACAGGCCAAAGAAAAGAGGTGACCACAGAGGTGGTGAATCTCCCATCTCACAAGTGGGGAGCTGGATGGAGAGCCAAAGCACCTAACATGGGGGACCAGCACAGAAGCTAGTAGTGGGGGACATTCACTGGGACAGTTTCCAGGCAAGACACACACTAGAAAGCATCCAAACAGAGGAGGTAAATTCCTCCTGAACCATTTCTTTCCTTTTTCCCACCACAGCACCAGACTAGAAGCCTCCCATGCATCAGGGATGTGGAGAATGTTCTTGTAGCTGGTTCAGCAAGGATGTTCAAGAGCTTTTATAATTTCACATGAAGCCATAGGGCAATTATGCTTAACCCCCTCCACCCTTCCCTTTTCTCTGGCTATCTTGCTTTATTCTGTTTCTCGTTCCCATCCTTCCTTTTCTCTTCTCTTCCCTTGATCCCATTCAGGGACTAATTCAGCACAGCACTGGCAGAGATAAGTTAAAACAATGAGCAGATTTGCAATTACAGAGCGTTTTAAGGACTGGAAATTGTGTGTGTTTTACAGTCATCTCTTGCCTGTGATGGGGACATTATCTTTGGTAGATACAGCTCCTTCCTTAGCTGCCGCAGCCCCACCCTTGTGCATCAAGTGAAATTCCACATTCACACTAAAGCGCTGCTGTATTTCAAACACATCCCATCGAAGAAGAACCCATATCAAGTTTTAAATGTTCGCTGTACTTTGGCCAGGGCTGATTATCAATGGTGTACATGCCTTCAAAATCCTTTGTTAACGACATACCCTTATTACCATAATCAAACACGCTTAGAAACTTGTCACAGATAAGCAAAATTCTTTACATTCTTTGCCCTGCACTTTCTCTTAGCATCTCTTCCCCATCCCCCTCGGTGACTGCTTAGCTTCTGAAGGTTAAGGGCTGGTAGTGCTGGATACTGAAGTCCTCTGTTTACCCACACAAGCGAAGAAGCAGCAGTCAGAGCTTCCTTACCCTGCCGCAGAAATGACCTGAACAGCGACCTGAAGAGACCACCCTCCTGAGAGAGGAGAGGTCACCCAGCCTCCACGCAGGCTCTGCTCAAGGCATCCTCTGCAGAGAGAGCGAGGGAAGAGACTGCAAATCACCCAAACTGTGCCAAATTATGTGTGAAGGTTTTGTAATGCAGACCGCGGTCCACCAGGGACTAAATTAAGAACATCAAAACCAACACACAGAGAATTTCATTTTATACTTAAATTCAACTTGCAGTGTCCTATGGAATGCATTTATCAAACCCTGTGTCCCAAAGCATCTCGCCACCCAAATAAATTGGGCAATTTGTGCAGAGGGCCATACAAATTTAGCATGAAAGACTCTTGCTTTTAATTTGTTCAGACAGAACATGGACTCAGCCACCCATTCAGGCAGCGTTCCTGTTCGTTCCAGAAACCACCTTTTCTCCCTGTGTTTACAGAGTACCTGTCTAAATAGCACAAAAACCTGATTTAAATGTGAGTGCTCTGACATGAATCAAGTGATTGATAATTAGAGCAAAGTTAGAGATATACTCATCTCAGACAGGGGAGCTTGCACATCACTACATGTCAGCATCCAGTGCTTCTTATCCCAGCGCTGGACCATTTCACCTGAAATTACAAGCCACAACAGCATTTCTCATAAATCTGACCTCTTGTTACATAAATATACAACTTATTACTTGGGGGGGGGGGGGGGGGGGGGTTAGCCTATGAAAAAGGTTCTGCTTTACCCTAGCCTTTAACATACAGATTGTCTTAATTGTAGATTAGAGAATGTTTCTGTGAAATTACTTTTCAAAAGAGACAACCTGCAAAGGTAGTAAAAAACCAGACTAAAATCTCCTAGGGAAGGGCATGAGAACTGCACGGTTTTAAGTACATGCTGTTTGCCTGGTACTCTCTGATGGCTACATCAGGGCTATAATAATATATCAAGCACATTCTTAGGGTTCAGTTAACCATTATGCAACTGGGAAGGATACTTAGCTGCACCATAGGAAGCATACTTAGTCAGAAACAATATTTATTGCCTTTTCTGAAGTGTGGCAATGGAGGCCAAGGTTGTAGGACCTTGTCTTCATGTTGTCTGCTTGGCTTTCAAAGCTGAACCTCCCTAGATTCTTTTCCTTTAGTGATGTTACCAAAAGCTTTCCAAACAGCTATTTGAGCTGGTGTGGAAGGAAAAGGAGTTTCTTCCTCTGGGCAACTGGCATCACAATTAGGCCTATGAGAGATGTGTGGATTCCCAGCAGGCCACTTACAATGACAGCTTTCTCTAAAACCACCCTTTCCCAGTCTGAGAACAGCAGGTTAATACTGAATATATCTTCATGTTACTCACAGTAGTAATGTATTACCACTAGCTGGGAAACTGAGGTATAAGGATTAGCCTATGAAATAAGATTATGGCAATAATAAGAACCTTAAATAAGTCATAAGTCCTGAGGACTACTCCAGCTCTTTACTGCAAAATCAAGCTGACTTTTCTGCAGGTCTTTCCTCTGAGTTAAACAAACAAAAGCCCCAAAACTCCCAAGAACAAAACAAAATCTTGGGCTGGTAGACAGGAGGACAGCACAAAGTATAAATCTGAGAAAAAGTCACTCTCCTGAGTATATGAATATTTGATTACTAAACTTACCAGAATTCTTGCAATGGGAGGCTAAATGTGTAAACAGAATATGTTAACAGAAAAGAATACTGCCCAGGTATATGTAAATATATCTAAGTTATATCAAACAAACATATTCCAGTTCTCCAACTAGTAGGATTCAGTTATTCACCAGATATCAGTACTCATTAGCACTCCCACTGTGGTAGCTGAGCATTAACAAATGTGTGAAGAACAGCCATTGAAAATATATATGTTACTTTAGAAAGTCAAACAACAACTCCTACAACACAATTATTATGTCATTAAAACTCCTGATACTCATCTCATCCTCTGTATTGATCCATTATGACTGCTCATGACCTTGTAAGGCAGTCAAATCCTATCATTTTCTATGACAGGGGACCCATTCCTGATCTGGAGCTCTGATCCAAAATGTGGTTTGAGACAGGCTTTTGCTTCAATAGCCAAAACACTCATGAAAGGCTACATGGATTGGGCCTTATAATCTGACAATGGACTTGGCTACAATACTGTGTTTGTCAGGAGTTACCACACGCTTATAGGGATGACTGTAGTATCTCCAAAATTACAGGGATGACTGTACTATCTCCGACAAGACTGTGTGGGAACTGCAGGTTAATGGTATCTCTTAATGGTGATGGCTGTAATGTAGGTTAATGGGATCATCTTTTCTTTTCCCTGGGAGAATTTGTGAATTCTTCCATTCACTGACATTATTTTTAGCAGCAAATGAAGGATTGGATTCAGACCTGGAGATGTTTTTACCAGGAGGGTTTTTTTTAAGTGAAGACCCCACTCTAAATGAAACTAAACCCGGTCCAATTTCTCCAAGGGGTGGTGAGGAAGGCTTATTGCACAAACTGACACTGGTTTGTCCAGCATGTTCAGTGCTGCCCACATTTTGGAGGGTCCATCTCTTATGAGATGCCACAGCAACCCCTGACAGCACTCCTGGTGGCAAACACACTGATCTGAGCCAAAACCCTGTATGCATTGAAATCTATCGTGTGGGACATCAGAGGGTTTGTAAAGTACTTTTTAGCTTACAGTTGAAGTTTATCGTTGATCTGAAGGCAGATATTCCCAGCCATGTCCCTGTCCCTGCTTATTCCTGTGCTGCCCGCTCTGTCCTGCCCTTCAAGCCTTGCTGGCGAAGATGCTGGAGGGCACGGGCTGTTTGTCCATATGAAACCCAGACTTTGCTGAGTTATCAGAACAAGGCACGCCTGGCTGTCAGCTTATCAGCCAGAGGAGAGGGGGAAAAGAAGACAGACAAAAAGTGAGCGGAAGAGCACATGGCTCTCCTTTCATTTCTAATGCGCACCACTATGGCCCTAGGGGAGGGGGGCTGATGGTTCTGCAGTGGTGAAGTCCACATCCTGGCAGCTCCAGCACCAAGGACCGTAGCCGGTGGTCTAATTCCCCCCCCCCCCCCCCCCCAGTGAGGCTTTGGCTGTGTGTTAATTGCCCGTATTCCAGCCCCATCTCCCATTTACTGATCTCCGATGTGACCCACGTGAGCGAGCGAGCGCGCCGGGTCAGGGCTCGCGGGGGCCAAGTTCAAGGGCACAGGCTGGTACAGACATATAAACAAGGGAATGGTATGTAAGCAATAAAGACATAAAGGTTAGGAGCAGGGCTAGCAGTACAATAAACAGCTGTGATAACCCGGTTTGTTTATAGATAAAGAATTTACTGTAAAACCCACAATGCGCAGGATACATTTGTTAACACTTTAAGGGACATATGATTGTAGATCCTTTTTTTAGTTATTGCTCTGTGTGTTGTGTAAATGTCTCCAAACATCCTATTTTTCCTGTTTTCTTTTAAATGCACGCTTATCACATTACCTAGAAATCTTTCCCTTCAAAACTCGCTCCAAACACTGTTCCACAGGAGTTTAAAACTGCTGATAGCCTGGTCCTTAATACTTACAGCTTCCTATTAAACCCCTCATGTTTCAAGCAAGGAACATCCCTTTACATCCCATTCTTCCTAATTCAGTTTTAATACAAGTAAGTGGAGTAAGTACAATTTCATTAGGGCTCGTGTAATTCTGCACAGCGTATGTTTTGCCAACTTTACTTTTGAAATAGATTTCTGAGTGTAGCCAAGCATTTTGTGGAATTACCACGGTGCTTCTTAACTGTCCTGTGAGGCTCCCATCAGAAGCACAATATATTGTACTGTAACTATTGATCCAAATGGCTACATTTCTAAAGCAGAAAATGATTGTGTAGTGAAAGCAGTGCAGAGGTGCAGTAAAATGCCCTCAAGTATATAAAGACATAAAGATTAAAGTCACCCTGCAGATTCCCTTTAACTCCTGCAAATCCACTGTGTAATGTGTTCTTTTAGGATAAATCACAAACGTTGTACAAATTAACATGGCAGGTGCCTGTGTTCATAAATAAGATTGCTCCTCCCCATCAGCAGGCTGCAGGAAAGTTTACTTTGCTTTAAATACATGCAAAAGCTGTTCAATTCCCAGATGACCCAAAAACATCTGAATACCTAAAAGGCAAAATAACACCCCAAAATTTGTCAGCCAGAACACGTATTCAGGATCAGAAATTGAGACTTCAGTACACAGGATGCCCTAGAGTGTTAATACCAACAATTTTCCGTTCTGTGGCTAAGTCTTCAATAAAGTTTAGATGATCTTAAAGAGAAAATACATAGGTGGACTCCGTCACAGACTCGTTCTCCTCCATAGCACCAAAGTGCCTTTTCTAAACTTTGGAATACACTTTTTAACAGTGTAGTTGTTGTTAGTAGCACGTATGTTATATATGACTTGTAAAAGCCATTTGACTGCAGGACAAATACATCTGCCCTTGCGTTGCTTTCACAATCATTCTTGGGATACTTTTTGGTACCAGGCATCTTTAGCACCTTTAACCTTCTCCTAATGACACCCAAAAGTGGGATACTTGTTGGAGGTGTCAGATAGGGCTCGTAACACACTTGAACAGCATAATCAAGTTCTGACTGTAAGCAGGACTCTTCAGCTTTTCTTTAGCCTGACTAATAAATAACAATGGTATACCAATAAATGATACAATTTAATGCCTGCTCTGAGCCAAATTCTTCTTTGGCCTGTTTCTGCTTCCACTGTAGTCAGTGGATAAACACTCAGGGTGAAATATTTCCCCCAGTCAAGCTGATGGTTGAATTCTCCAGGATTATAGGGAACTGGTAGAACCTAAACAGATTAATCTTTGAAGAAGGAAATCTTTCAGTTCCTGGCTCCTAGCTGTTCCTGTACACAAATAAGGTATTTTGTGTCCGTGTATACTTCAGGAGCTCTGTCACTGAAATAATCATCAGTTGATCAAAACATCCTTATAAGTCAAAACTCTGGCTTTCTCTAGCTCTGGTCAAAAGACAGATGGATGAAAAGGCATTGCTAATGCAAACCCCTATCACGCCTGGGGCCTTTCCCCTGCACAATTATCCTGCCTGGATTACTCCTCCAGGACGGTGGCTGATTTACACACTACAGGAGTGTTTCTCATCTGGGAAACAAGTGCAGCTTTTTAGTTATTCTTTGCACCACAGTATCACCTGCAGGGTTTTGATTGGAGCTGCTGTGCATGGTGCTGCACTTTGCAGGAGGACAGGATGCTCCCTGCCCAAATTACTTCCCACCTCCTTACAGGTGGGGCAGAGAGGTAACACAAAGCTCTAGTAAAAAGGCTGCAGTTCAAATAATACAAATAACAGGCAGTTGTTGTAGCACCCTGCCTGTCTTGCCATCTTCAAGGGCTTTAGGAATCACTGCCCAAAAGAAGCTTGAAGGAACACCAATTCAGTGTGAGAGCTGTAGGGAGCTGCACAGCAAAAGCCTGACAGTGCTGGCCAAATTATTACCTGAAAGCATAAATTAAAGGACAGTGGGCACTCCACTTATGTGGAGTGTGACAGGATGGAGGCAGCAGACAGAGGGCGCAGGAGATGGCATGGAGGCATATATCCTGGGCTGGGGATGTAGGACACTGCTGCCTGCTGGGGTGGAAGGAAATGGGGCTATGCAAAAGCACTGTGTGGGCCATCCACCTGCAAAGACCCTTACAAACCAAAACTACCCATTGCAGGTATGACAAGCAGTGGTAACAAGGAATTAGTTTGCGACAGTCTTGGTCCCTACAACTGCATCTTCATTACCATCAAGGAAAAAAGCCTGACAGCCAAAATAACACCCTGCAAGGTTAATCACAATTCATTTCCAAGGGCCCTGGTCACTACTGATGCACCTGAATTGTGGAGAAAACTGTTTGAAGTGGGGTAATATACTTGTGTCCTTCCACCTGGGCCACCCCCACCCCAACATCTCTGGACTAGAGTGGGGACAAGCACATAGGACACAAGTTGGACAAGATGCCTTCAGGTCCAAGCTCCAGCAGATGCTTTCATCCTACATGTCTGAGAAAGAAGAGAAACCCTCAATGGCTACAGGAGGCATCACTGGAGCTGTGAACTGGCCTTCAAATTAGTGGTTTTGCCCTTCAAAGAGATTAAGAACTGCGAGAGGAAGAACAAAAAAGAACAAATACTCAGTTCTGGTCTGCTCAGACGGGTCACGTATGGAGGGGTCACACGTGTGCTGGGGGATTGCACTGCATTTCCCTTTTGAAACTGGCTGCTCCAGCTCTTTTGTGACTATTATCTGTGGATTCAGATTTACAAGATTCCTCTCCTGGCCAATAAAACCAGGTGGGAAATATAAAGATGTCCATAAATGACATATTTTCATGCTTTGTGCAACCCGTCCCTGCAAAGCGCTTCTGAGCAGCTAAGCAATTTACATCTAATAGCAAAGTGTTTTTTAATCAGTCGGATCAATTTGTGAAGAATTGGTACATTAGGTACAGCCATATAGCAGAGATCCTTATAGCCAAGGTTTAAAAGTAATTGCTCCCTGACCCACTGAACACAGTATTACTATAGAAGTTTGTATTCTATTAAGAGTTAATAAGTGACCAAAATCTAGACTAATACACTGTCAGGGTTAGTTATCATTACAGGTTCTTGCTATTTTTCCAGTGCCTTTTGCTCTGCCATTCTCACTACGTATGGAAAACCTATATCAAGATGGTTGTCATGGCAATGAAAAGATTTGCATGTGTCTTATCTATCTATTTAAATACCTTCTTATGGTTTATAACTACTATAATACATCCCTCCAGCCCTGCTCATTGCTAATTTAGAGCTAGCCCAATGTGTCTGAGGTCAGCGATACCATCGGAAGCATGTTGTCTAGACAACTCTGAAGCTACTGTCCAGGGGATAATTGTTTTATGCAAATTTAAAAGTACAATGGTGACATGCTCATCCATGACTTGTGCAATCCACTTGTGCTGGGGCTGGACCTGCAATCACATACCCAGCAAGAGCATTTTCTGCTGCATCCACCTCATTGATTTGATGGCGATTTCTTCTGGTCAGGCCTGAGGGTGATTTGAGATGAGGCTGATGCTCTAAGAGTCACAGTAAAAATCTGCTCTATAGGCATGCCAAAACCTCTCCCCTGAGAGCTCTCTTGGCACGCAGTCATGGCACAAACACATCAACATTTGGGTTTGGTACCAAGTGTCTTTTGGGAGGGTATTAAATTTAAAAACCAACTTGGCAAAGATTTCAATGGGTTGGACTAAAATGATCCAGACCTTCTACCTGCACAAATCTGAGTTCTTCTTTTCTCTATATCTTCATACCTCAGATAGTTCCATCAAAATACACTGGACTGAGTGTGCTCTTTGAAAAGATCTTGTGGAAGACAAGGAAATCTTATGCATGCAGAGCAGAAACCACTCTTCATCAACTGAGAGATTAATACCTGCATTACCCTGCTCCCCTCTTTTCTCGTTTTCTCCTTCAGGCATTCATGCTTTGCTGCTACATTCAGATGGCTGCAAAGGTAAATACGGCTATTACTGCCTAAATCCATAATGCACACAAGGCAGCGTGCAGTTTGAAAACACAGAGAGGTAACAACAACCACCACCATGAAAGGATACCTCTGAAATCCAGCAAACCAGACTCTTCATTCCTGTTTGACATCCCTGACTCAGGGTTGTGGCTTTTCATGATATCCACAGATTAAAACTACTTTTTCAAGTACATCAAGATCTTTGGGTTTATTTTCTGGCAAATTGTATATTGTTGCTACCAGAGATTAATACTAATACTGCAAATGTTTAATAATTTGGTAGTTGACTGATTTGTTACAAGTATTTGAACCGCTTGACCACACTTCCAGGTTAGAAATGTCTTTTTCCTCAAGATAATTTATATTGGTATTCACAGTCTGAGGAAATGCCACCTATTCCTGCAGCACTAAATCAGGAACCATTTACCCTGCCAATACAGTTAGAAGATGTTTACATGCAGGACTACGTTCATTGTTTGACTAATCTGGAAGGGGTAGATTTTCTATTGCATTTCGATAGCTCATCTGCTCCGGATTGTTGTGAACTTTCTAAAGATGTGTTTTCACTTGTAATAGCAGATCTTAGAGTGTAGTAATCCGGAGCTGAAGTTTCAGTGGCAGATTTATTCAACTAGCATTTTTGCATGAGGCATTACAGCAAACATCATTTTATATGTGCGAGCGCGCGTGTGAGCGTATAAATATATTATACATATATATGTATCTGACAAAAGCTTGCAAAGATGATTTCTGCAATTCAGTAAACGGAGGATTTCAAGTGAAACCTCAGTTTCCGGGTGTTTTTCATAATGGATTTCACAGCAGATGACCTGACAGCTAATCTCATGGTCTGAATTGCGCTCTGCCGCACATAGCCAAACAAACGGCCGCCAGACCCTCAAAGCATCATCCTGCTTTCACATGCCATGGCTGCAAGTCTGCGCCACTAATGTCCAGGGGTCCAGACTGACCTCCTCACCCGCTGTCTGGGAAACATTCCTCCTCCCAGCAGCTCATTCTTGCCGACAAACAGAGCAGGACCAGTGGGCACTTGCTGAAAAGGGACAGGCGAGGGGCCGTGAATGGAGCGTGTCTGGTACAACAATGCCAGACAATGGCTGTGAATGGGGTTGCAAACCGTGCTCCTGTTAGAGGGGCTGCCAGCAGCTTCCCTGCCCCCTCTCCCCTTCCCTTTAAGGGTCTGTTCCCCTTTCATAAAGGTATTAGACCTCAAAGCCATCACAAACAGGTGGGCAAAGTCAATGGATGCTGTGTTTCAGAAGGGGAGGGCACTTGTTTGCAGTGCCTATGGCTATACGATGTCTCCATTGCACCTCCCTCCCCATGCCACATGCTCTGTGTGCCATTAGAAAGGGTGACAAGGACAAAAGCAAAGCAAACATTCAAGTGCAGGCACTGCTCTTGCACCTGGGTGAGGGCAACAGCATCAGCATCGCTCTGGAATGGGCCACTGGCCCTTGGTTTTGGCCTCTCTGAAGAGCAAGACAAGCGCACCACTAATGAGGTGTGGGGTTCAGACCTGGCTTTGTTTCTCTTTAGTTTGAGTCATGGTTTTGGGAGGAAAATGGAGGAAAAAAAACTCACATGTATCTACACTGACATACTTCTCCCATCTAAATCACAGTGAAGGCAATGACTTACTTAACAGTGAAGATATATGCAGAACATGCTGAAAATGTTTAACAGGATACAGCTAAGCTCCTGTCTCATTTATGCTCATCCAAATCAAGGGTAACTCTTCCACAAACAGTGAAGGGAGTCCAGATCTTACTGGTGAAGGCCAGCATCCTGTCCAGAGTGCTAAAGAACTGTGGAAAGTATTTGGGTGTAAATACTGCCTTTTTTGGCAATATCATATCTGAGAATACAAAACTTTTCCTTGGAAACACTGAATTAAACAGAAGACATATTTCTAAAACTTATTACTAGTACTAATCTTTAGTGATCATTGTATCTACAGGACAAAAAGCCTTTGGTATTGCACTTTCCCTCTAGTCCACAGTGGTGCAAAAATGAAACAAAACCAAGAATTTATGGAGCCACACAGCAAATACAGTGTGAAACCCTCCTCCCAAGAGCCTCTGTGAGCTTCAGAAAGGCCAGTCTGGGTATTGAATCAAAAGCAGTGGGAGCTACATGTCGGTAACCCCCTGTATACGCCTTAGCAATTTGGGATTTCTAATCTTGGGAACCCACTGGTAGCTCTTGTACATTTGCAGATGCCCTTTGGGAAGGGAGTGACTGGGTCAAGGAGGATGATAGGGATGGCTGAGACTGGGGATCTTACTAATACACAAAAAACCCTTCAAAGACTGGGAGCTTTCAGGATCAAAGGCACCCCGGCTGACTGATTTGTCCATCTTTGCTTCTCTGTCTGCAGAGTTCTGCATGGGTCTATCTGCAAAATGCATGGGTCTATCTGCAAAATAAAACTTCCTGCCCATATTCTAGGCTGTTTCCCAAAAGCATATTTCCCAAAAGCATATTTCCCAAAAGCATATTCTGGATATTTTGGATAACCACAGCATATAGGATGTGGTTGTCCTGACTGACCTCTATCAGCAGCTAGTTCAAGCCAGCTAACAAAACTGGGGGTGGTCATAGTGAGGGGCAGACTGCAAGAGCAAGTGTGCTCCTACTTGGGTCAAGGCATAGAAGGCATCTACTAGATCCTCTCCTGGTGTGAACAGGAGGTCAGCACAAAAGCCACAGTTTGCTGGGAAAGCAGCCTGGCAGCGTAAGGAAAAATCGAACCTCAAATAAAGTAAAAAGGCACTTGGGCTGCAGAGCCCAGTGCTGGCCCCAGCTGCATCATGCACAGCAGGCAGAAAAACCCAACGTGACCATCCATGGGGTGAGCCCCAGACGAGAGGGTCCCAGTGGGTCTGGTCCCACAACATCCACCTCCCTTGGGCATCGTCCCCCCCTTGCCAAGGAAGAGGCTGGGATCTGCCATGTCCGGCTGAGCCCTTCTGCTAGAGCATCCCTGGGGATGGTGGGCAGCTGGGGGTGAGATAAAGCAGACTCGAGGCTGTTTTCTCTTACGCAGGGGGCTGGCCCCAGGAGCAGGAAAGCGTAAAGGTGGTTTAAAAACCACAGCTTTTCCTTTTTGTTGTTGGGTTGGGGCTTTTTTTTTTAACCTTCTCTGAACATCTGGGCCTCTCCTGGAGTGTGTGCTGTGGGCAGAGCAGATCCTCTGGCCCTGAACCTGCAATGCCCAGAGGAGAGCCAACGCTTACGCGACTGCAAGCAGATAAAAACACTGGAAGGGGGGGAAGGTTAAAACAACAAAGGGAAATTTGTATTTAAAATGCATGCTCCTATTTGTTTAAAACAAATCTTTCTGCTATAAACAGATTTTAAACGCCTAACAGGAGCTAGGTTTGCTGTTTAATTCAGTGAGGTGCTGGTGCATTAGTCTAGGAATACGCCAGACTGGAGGAAAGTAACGCAGCTCTACCTATGCATTTGGAGGTTACACCCCTGAGCAATAGTGACCTCTAAAGCCTTACATCCTGTGGACAAAGTGACCTCCCTTCTACCCTGCTCATATACCCTGCTCTACCCAGCCATCAGCTCCTATCACCCTGGAGGCGAGACAGGGATTGAAGGAGGGGAAGAGCCTTCCCCCTCCTCCCTGCGCTCCTAACCAGCTAAGTTTTTGTCTCGTTATGCCTTTTAACACAAGTAAATCCAAATAACTGGGCAGTAATGAATTATAAATGGAACAAAAATGAATATACTATTAATACTACTCCCAGAAGGGGATAAAAGGGATCAGCAGCTTTATCCCGTGGTGCAGCTGAGAACTGACAGGCAGGCTGGGCTGACATTCAGAGGCCACTCTGTTTTCATAAGGGAAAGAAAAATCCCTGGCGAAGACAAGGTGATATTTTAACCCCGTCTGCAGCCCCGTGCACCATGGCTTGATCCAGCAGAATGTGGCTCCTTCCCCAATATTGCTGTTTATAGGAGTCAGAGTGCTAAAATGGATGCAGAAAGGATGCTCGCTTTGCAGGGGAACGAGCATCCCTTGCTCCTTTGGTGAAATATGCTTGTGTAAAAGAGGGAATAAACAGGATTTGGTGCTTAACAATCCCCAGGGCTTTCAGTACTCCTGCAGACTGACCCCTGTGGCTGCTCCAGGGCGGTGGGGAGGAACAACAAAGCCGAAAGCACAGCCTGCCCCAGCATTGACCTTCCCACAGCCAGGTGCCGTGGGGCACCCGGGCCTCCGATAACGCCCCGGCACAGCCGGCGCTGCTGCGGCTCTGGAATGCCGGGAGATAAGGGCAGTGTTGTCTGAGTTATTCCCTACAGCCAAGTTCAAGAGAGGGGAAGGGGCGCAGCTGCATGGTGAGAGAGCCCTGGCCTCCTTCTCACTCTCCCCAGAGCAGTTAAGGGGATCCATAGGGATCACCTCTGGTTTTTATGTTTAACTCCACTTAGAAGGATGCATCCAGAAAGCACCGCAGACCCCTCTAATCCTCAAGCATCGGTGGAAGCGAACTGGACACACAAACTGTGTTACACACTTTAAAGCGTAGTTAAACTCCATCAACTGCTGAAATCTGAGAGGCTTCAGTCCAAGGTACAGGCACTTCCACAATTTTTCACTTACTCAGATTCCAGGGAAGTGTTTGCCCTGAGAGTCTGCGGCAGAGGCTTAGTCCTGCTGCATTAAAGCAAGCGTGAAGCTTTACCTTGACATGGGTGGGACCGGGATGGAGACACCAGCAAATTCAGTTCAAAATGGATTAAAAAGTTTGGAAAGCAGCCAGGGGTCATTTGTGACTTGGCTAATTTGGGCAGAGAAGAAAGAGGTGCTTCAGTTTGAGGGTGTTTAACTGGAAGTGCTTGAAAGGGGACAGATTTTCTTCTTGATGAGCAAATGCTTGGGCAGAAATGAGCCTCTCCAATGCACTTTCATCATCATCTTTGTCTGTGACTTGGCATGAT